TCCACAAGGTGCTCACTGCAGGATAGGAGCTAATGACTTCCCCGTACTCCCCCTAATTTGACTTCTTAGAGTCTGACAGAAAATATATTTCCTCGTAAACCTTTCTTCAGAGCATGGAGACTCCCTTCTCCCCTGTGCTGTAGGGCTCCACAGTGCAGACAAAATCTCTGCACAACTGAGGTCAATGGAAATTCTGCCACTACTCTTAGCGAGGCAGAAAACTCCCATTAAATTCACTGAATCTAGGATTTCATTGCCCGTGGACTCATCCTCTTTCAAGCTCACTCTCGTAATCAGAAGCATTCCTTAGAGCTCAGGGCAGAACTGGAAAAGTTTGTGCAAGCACTACTATTATTCATGGGTATTTTTTCCTCTATCTGCCTTTGAAAATGGAGAATGCACTGTCCTCAAGTTATCATTTTTGAGATTAACAGCACTTGGAAATGAGGCATCTGAGTAGGCTGGCAAGAAGACAGTACTGCCAGAATAAAACATGGGAGTAACACTCACAAAATCAGCAAGAAACAACAAAAGAGCATGGAAAATTAAATAACTTTTACACATTCCAAAATGTCATGTTTGCGCATGAAGTGCATGTATTAGGTGGCTGTACCTCACTTACCAGGTGAGCTTCCACTGTTTAAAGGTAAGACGGCATTTAAGAAAGACTTAAGACTCTACAAATATAACCCATATTATAGGAAGACTAATTCACACGAGGATGTCAGGGAGGCCTGGATGATCCCTGGGGGCTGGGAGCAGCGTGGGGGCAGCCAGGGCCCATCCCACTCCCAGCCAGGAGCAGGGCAGCCAGGGGCATTGGGGCGGCCCCAGCCCTGGGCATTGGGCACCTCCCTGGGGATGGGCCACCAGCCCACGGGTGGGGGGCAGACATAACCTGACTCATCAAAGCAACACTGACGCTTAAGACAACCCATGGCTTTCCACAGGAAGATGAAAGTTTAGCTCTACCAGCATGCAAAATCAAATTGCTGAAAGCTGTCATTTCTCACCTATTTCAGATTTTACAATCTGCCATATACAGAACGTGGTCTGATTTTCCTTTTCAAACAACAGGAATATGATTTATAAC